CAGGATTAGATAATGATAGCCGACATGGCAGTTATTTTATATTCACAATTAAAAATGGTCATTGATTAGCGTGCTTCCATCGAGTTTTTGGGTGCTAAGGGAGGTTGCTAATAGAGGTTGCTAAGCACAAAGGAAGCGTTAAAGTACGCATCGTGTGACTCTAGCCTCTTAAGGTGATTCCCTTAAAAATAGAAGGAAAAATGTCATTTTCCCCAAACTATGGACATTTTAAATATTCAATAAAAAATGGGGGTCAGCATTCTCGTTTTCGTTCTAAATGACCTCAAAATGTGACAAGATACGGCCTCAACGACAGATATTCCTGTAACCSGAAGTCAAATAAAAATAACACCATTCCTTGCAAAATTACATGTTGTTTAAAAGCCTACAATCTACAATCTATTGAAGTCACGTGACCTCATTCCCCTTAAAACGAACAAATGAGTCAAAATGAACTCTAGAAACGAAAGGAGCACCTCAAATTAAGAAAGAGGGCGAAGTATTGAAGAAATGACATTAAATATAAAATCAAATATTTAACAAGGATTTGTATGGGAAAAGTGTTGGCTGGTAAGCTTTTGCCATCCAGCGCATTTCCCCATACAAATCCTTAAAAAACATTCAATTTTATATATAATGCCATTTCTCCTGTTTCGCTTAATGTTATGTTCTGAAACTCCGCCTCCCTACTAATGCCGAGATGCTCATTTTATTTCAGTTTTTTTATTTATTTTGACAATACTGCTCGTTTTAATTTAAGGTATCAGGGTACCCCTAGCGGCCAGTGTGCATTCAACTCTTAATAGCGCAAAACCTTTTAATCGTTGACAAGTGATGTCAACAATAAATCGAAAACTATTAAAGCTAAAAAAGTCGTTTTTCGTTTATTTCTGACTATTAAAAAACGCTATTGCAAAATTATTTTTAAAAATGGTCGATATTATTATGCATTAATTATTGATATTATTGTGTATTCTCTCGGAAAATGTAAAGACCTAAGAATCAATATTTCATAGCAATTTTGGGGTACGCAGATACCTTAAATAAATTATATCAAGTTTATGTAATTCTTCAAAATTGTCGTGCTTACATTTTAAGTGTCTTACGCTTGTTACCTCATACTTGGATTTAGCGTTACCTATATTAAATAAAATGAATGATTGTTAGTAATGTTTTAAAAAAGCAACTGGGTAGCTATAGAACATGATAACAATACTGACATAATAAAAATCATTGTAACGAACTAATTCAATYATGCATTGAAATTTAATCGAAGAACGGGGGTACCACGAGTTTGTAAGAGTTATTATTTTCAAATACCGGCAATATTTGTTGATGCTTTAAGTAAGGTGGCTACATGTTTTGAGGCAATGCCCAACAATTACATGTCAAATACAGACTAACACATTGGTGCCYAATAGGCCAACMATATATATTAAAGTATTATGTATTATATTTAACGAATTGATCATGACTTATTGTACTATCAAGAAAATTTATYCAAATTTGGAAATATCTTACCGTGCAGTTTTCGAAATTTCGCTATTTCTTTCTTTGAAAAAAWTAACGCTCTCGCGCTGAAAACTATATAAAGACACCTTAAGAGTAATGAGGACAASTTACATAAGTTACATTTTACTATCACAGTGGCAGTTGCARTATCAGTGTGTTCCCTGCTGTCATAGGTGTTCTTTGCTGTACATATGTACTTGGCAGCGTCTGTTTTGATAGCATCAGGTATTCTAAGTGTTCCCCCAGCTACYGTGTGACCAGCTTTGATGACACCATCAGCCTTTGTCCATGATATGGATGRTGGTGGATAACCATCTGCTGTACAGCTGAGTACGATCTCATCACCTTTTACAACTGTGATATTTRGTGGAGTAACAGTGATGTGAGGAGGATCTGTGCATACGAATCARTATAAAATTCCATATTAAGCTACTTTTTAACTTTGTTGCTTTTATTGTCAGTATTGATAATCAGAAATCAGATAGTCAGTAAATGATCTGCCTTGATGATTGGTCAAAAAACATGTTTGTGGTTTGATGTCTTGCGTTATATCAGCATTCCGCTTGTTTTAGCATCGAACACATTATTTTAATGTTTCTTCAATCACTGATTATTTTATAACAGGAAAAAAGTACATAAAGAAGAGAATTCCTTGAAACGACAACTTTCATATATTTACAACGCTTCTTAATAACACGCGTGAAACCGTAAGATTTCCCGTCGTGAAGAAGGAGGTTTTGGTGGACGTCAATCAAGACGTTTCCATGACATAGACTGATTTGATATTGTTTGTGAACGAAACCATTTCCATGTCGGAATGTCATATCGCCTATCGCCTTTAGCAATGACAATTTTTGAATAAGGTGTATATAACATATAAGCTAGAACAATTCCATACTCACAGCACACTGCTACCATAGTCTGTAAAGTGACCGGTCTCTCATTAGGGTTGTTCCTGGCCTGACACTCATACGTCCCATTCTGATCTCTTCTAATGTTTGGTATCCTCAGTGTAGCATTTCCTGTTCCTGTACTCATGACCACGTGACCTTCTATCTGTACCCAAGTGATGTTGGGTGTTGGTGGACCAATAGCAGTACAAGGCACACTCAATTCTTGTCCTTCTCCTATGTTTTTCGTTAATGGTGGTTGTATATTGAATTGAGGAAGAACTGGACAATTTTTAAAAGTCGTTAGTGAAAAATGAATAGAAAATTCTAAATACTTTTATATTGAAACGCACACTTGTTTTTCAGTTTTGAAGCCTTCACAGGTTTTTCGCGGATATTAAAATCAATAAGTATTATTTATTAAAGTTAACATATAGAATTAACATACATTTGCTGTGTAAAATCGGCAATTTTTTCCCTCTACATGTTGCTTCAACATCTTTCACATCATTCCTCATTTTCAGTAAAACTTTTAAAACTAAAGATCATGATTGTGCCAAAAGTAAATTTATGTGCAGGTTAAATAAAGTARCATACCTGTGACAATAAGTTGTACTTTACTAACTATAGGTATTCCTATTGACAACACCAAAGTACATACATATACACCATTATCGGCAGTGGTGACATTATAGATGACCAGAGTAGCAGTGGATCCGGACTCCTTACTGACTCGCCTTCGTAACCTGGCAGGACACTTGGCACTGACTGTCCATCGCCATCCCCAAACTTATGTTCGAAACTAATCAGTGAACTTTTGTTCTGAGTATCGTAAAATTCCCATGTTGGTGAATATATACCAAAATCTGCGTTCTTGTTATCAACGATGTAGTCCCACACAAACCTGGCAGTTTGTCCTGTTCGTACGTACAGCACACTGGGAG